TGAAATGAATTTCGTGCTTCTCGTCATAAATGTGCCGTAGCACTATGTCCGCGCCAGAATTAGCAGCGAGCCTTTTTACGCTGCACCTTTTTGTCTCTGCTTGTTTCTCCGTAAAAACTAGGATCACAATATTTCCATGTCATACAATATGTAAGGAGTTGTTTATTTTCCTGACATGGCTTAAAAATATATGATTTTGGAATCCTATATTTTGTTGTGTTTCAGGTCATTACAGATAATAGTGTTTAAAACAAACGAAAATATCCTACTTCATAACGGCATGTATTTTTAATGAAAAGACTATCTTCTCAAAAGTGTCTTTACTTTCTTGCAATATTTTCCGAAGGGTATGTTGTGGAAAAGTAATTCAGTTTATAAGTCTAATTAACGACAGACATATTGGCATGTAATGCACTATAGTGCATGCAAAAGAGACATGAAGAACTTGGAGAAGACGAAGGTTTTGCTCTATCATTATATGCAAAATGGAATTCATTTTAAGACACAAGCAAACGTGCAATTTTTAGATGCATCGCATATGACATGAAGATGAGCCGCGTTATTAGTTTTGTTGATGAATAAAGACATGTACTTCTTGTAAACCTTAGCCATGAATCTTATATAAAAGACAATGCAATACTTATGATATCATATTTTATTATTCTTCATAGGGATTGTAATTTTGTTGTATATCACAAAGAATCTGCATCTATTATTCTAATATAAAGATTCTGTGTGGAATGACCTATGAGAGCATGAGCTATTTGCAACATCTACCCAGATTTTTAAAGATTCAATCCACCATTGCTGTAGAAAAACGAGCATTCATATTCTACCATTTTACATTGTATTTTCAGAAGAATCTAGCATAGCCAGATTTTTTTGAATTCGGCAAGATCCGACTGGATTCTGTGGGATGTTGTCAGAATTACACAAAATACGATAAAATTCTATAAGAATATCATCAGAAACTGACGTGAGTGACAAAATAACATGCGAAACTAAGTTCTGAAATCTAGTACTAATTAAATGAATATTCACTGGCAGAACACTAATAAATGAGCAGTCATTAGTAGACAGTGATTAAAAACCGGAACTCTGAATTTCGAATATACACCTCGACCTAACTGGTTTAGGCTTTTCTGTGTGACTCAATGCTGACTTACTTATTTACAAATGATTGTGTGAGTCAAGTGACTCACATATAATTTATATCCCTGGCAAAAATAGCTGTAGTCAACTTTTTCAATGCATCATCATTAAAAACTATGCTTTTAAAACATCAATTATATATTCTACAAGCTCTTGGAATTCTCTATCATTCGCTAGATTTACACTTTATCTTGAAATTATTTTTTAATGGATAAATAAAATATAATGAGGCCACCCTCATGTTGAAATATCCAAACACATCATTATTTTAATCTATTCTCTAGCTATACTTGTAAAATAGTGTCATTTCGATGAATGCATTTTACAAAAACTACTTACATATTCTGATAGAGCTTGAAATTGTCTATCATCCTGTAATAACCTATCTTGTTTTGTTTTTGCCCATGCCAAGAAAATATTCCGTACATTGGTCACATCGGCATTTTAGAAGGATATAAAAATCATTCATTGTGTATTTTTTCAAAATTTTTATTACAAGGATAAATTGCCGATAGGAGAACTATATATTCTGATAGCACTGAAAATTCTGTTTATCTTATATATTTTCTCAGCTACTGTACTTATGTCTTATAGTATGTAGGTGGAGAATAAGAAGAAATATCTTAAGTGATAAAGAATTCGAAGAGCTTTCAGATTATGTAATTGTTGTTTTAAAAGTATGATTTTTTTAATGATGATAGATTGAAAAAATTCACTATAGCTATTTGTGTCCCGGAGTAAATTTGGACATGAATTTCCACATATATCTGATCCATACACGTCAATCTAATCCACCCACGTATATGGTTCATTTGTTTCTTAGGAAGAGTTGCAATCAGTACAGTAAACGGTAATTCGGTCTGTTTGGCAAAGAACTGCTGACCGATTGGTTGATGAAACATTTTCTTCTACTAAGTCGGTTTAGATTTTATGAATATTTCCATATTTTTCTTAGAAAATCGACAACTCCTTTAGAACTGGAGTCTAGCATAGATATACATGTGTTTCTTAATATTTTTAGCATCTATTACCGACGATTATAAGAGATAACTAATGAATATAACTTATGAATTAGATTAAATATACAACTAATAACTAATGTTCATGTCTAACAGATCGTTAACAAACGTAGAAAACTAACAGAGAATCTGTAATGCTGTGACATTTTCTGTTCATCAATAAATGTCCAGAATGAAAGGTTCACAAAAAATGAATAGTAAAAATAACTAAAACGAGCTCTTATGTCTTTACTCTAGTGATAAGAGTTCAATATGGCTGATGGTCTGATCTTTTCTATCCTTACTAGTCTCGGCTATGGAAAAATCGCATCAAATACAACTCTGTCATATGAACATCCGAAGCATAAAACAGATATCCATGAACCTAAAAAGGAGTATACTAAATCCGGAAATTCCGGGAAAAAAACGCATAGAAACTTTGAAGTCTTGGTGGTCAGAAAATGCTGGAAACCAAATAATTCAATGGAATCTTATGAATTCATAGAACCCCTCCTCAGAATTGGAGTGTTAGTGCTCCTAAAACATTTGATGTTGGTTTTCGATGGATGCTCATTAGCTTTAGTTTGAATTTACCGGAATGTTGTTGAGGATCTATTGATCGGTTTGCTATCACATTCACATGTCGGATGTCAACCGTGGGACTTGTTGATGATTCCATCACCAGAGTTTCCATCGGATTTTCATGGATGGTCCAGCCACTCTGAATTTTATCGAGTCCAGTATCGAGTTCAGCTGCCGGAGCTTCTTCTTTCGCTTCATTTGTCGATGGCGTATCTGATCCGGTATTGAATTTATCCTCCTGGTTTTTTTCTGTTTGATTTGTTAACAACGGGTCGGTTTCAGCACGGAGTACCTCGTCTTCATCTGAAGATTCGCTTGGGAAGTGTATCGGTATAATACATTCCTTTAATTCGGTAGTTCGCGAAGTCATTCCTGACTTGGTGTTGAGTAATTTCTATAATGTTATATAGTTTTATCTGGAAAATAAAAAGAGACAAGTGTCAGTTTATAGACGTTCAAAATTTTAGCGATATCGAAGTTCATTGAATATTCTGTCGATGCAACATACAGTGCAAGCAGATTTATCTACAAAACGACGAAGACAACGTTATATTCACTGAGACAAGGAAAAGAGGGTATGCTTTTGCTTGTTTTTCATTTGAAGTTCATTTCCAAATTTCGAACGATACTTTCCAGATACCCTGAGTTTCTTAAAGGTTATCATAGTTGAGATATATTAAAAGAGGTTCTAGTAATTGCTAAGTTTTTTGATTGACAGTCTCGAGTTTTCTCGATAAGCTCCAATTCTAATTTATGTCAAGGATTTTCCTGAGTTTGTCAGATTTCCATGAAGTTTTCGGTTTTTCCTTTGTTTCCTAAACCTTCAAAAAATGTTCTACATTGTGAAAAGTTTATAAGATCTTTAGACTTGTTAAACATGTGGAGGTCAAAAAATACTCAGAAGCTGGTCATGTTTTACATGGGTAAAGGTGACGTTATTCGGAAAGGCCACTCTACATTTTACTGGTCCGCTTGTTATTTTTAAAAACACTAGTCACAAAATACGCAGTAGTGAGTTCATAATTACAGGAACGGCTGTCCGATTCCCGTTATTTAAGTGAAAAAAGTCACTAGAGCTCTGTGCATTTGAGTAAGCTCTGCTCGAATATGAATCGCACTTGCGAAATTTAATTTTCGAAATTTTTTGAGAAAAGGAGTTCAGTTATCAAGAACCCATCGACTTTCTCCCTGTAGCAAAAGAGCGACTCCGTCTGGATATGTTTGTGCATCTGATATATATTTTCGAAGAAGATAATGTGTAAATTTTAATGTGGAGTTGCCGTGTTCACTATCTCCATCTCTACGAACGTTAGTAACGAGATCAAGTATTATTGCACATGAATTATTCCGTACTCATCAAGGACAATAAGACCAGACGTAGTTTTCATAACTCCTTAGCAATGGAAAAGACTGCCGAACGATATTCACGATAAGGCTCAGGACATTTCAAAAGATTTCAATAGCTAATTTGAAATCTGAATGGTATGAATAGGTTGATAAATGTTCTAAATAGCTGGGATTATGATTTTTGAGGTAGCAAACGATAATATAATATATATTAAGTACAGTAGATAGCGATCTATTGGTTTGCCATAATCGCCAACTGACTTACGCAAACAAACGTGAGGTGATCAAGTTGTAAGTGTCAATGCTGATGAACTTCAATATTTCCTGATTTATCAAAGTACATAATATTCAATTGAGATCTTTTCTGAATATAGCATAGGTGTACAACAAGATTGTTTCAGAGTTGTATCCACGGCTGGAAGAAAAAAAATAACAGTACATCAAGAAAATGGAATGCAAAACGAAAGAAAAGACCAAATGGCAACAAGGCAAATAAATGAACACCAGAAACAGAGAAAAGAGAAAAATTCTGTTCGAAATACAAAAATAAGCAAGATAAATTATTTCTCTAATAATCAGTTACACTAACATAGTAACTGCCACCTGCTGTGTATTGTTCACTTAACATATGTTGCGTTCGTATAATGAAGCTGAAGAAGATATGTAAGCTTCACATGTTAGCCTCAAAAGAACTGTACTGACAAGTCTTTTATATGAAAATGTTCGGAAAGTGATTACAGCTTGAATTATAACAAGGTATGATTGGTCAAATGAAGTAGCTTTAAAAATATTACATCGATCCAACTTTTTGATAAAGAAAAATGACATATACGTAGCAATCATATTTTGATAGAAACTTTGAAATAAAGCAAAAATTCTTTTCTTGCCATAATGGCTGACAAAAATTGTGAAATTCAATTCTTATTTCAAAGTAGCTATCAAAATATGATCACCTCTACGTATCACTTCTCGTGTTTCTATAAGTACGATCGCTATTGTGAGTGTACCACCTTCAATTGCTACTTCTAACGAGCACCGAGCAAAACATACAATGGGCCATTTGATTTCAAACTGAATTTGAGTACAATATAAAATTTGAATTCGGAAAGAAACAACTTATCAAATAAAATGCCAAAACTAACTAGATATATCGATATCTCAATATCCATATCACAAATCCCATCTTTCTCGCTACATCCCCCGCACAACAGCGGAACTTCGGGACTTCTGAATTCTACAGTGTGTATGTTCCACCGTATGTATATGGTAGGACATACACACTCTAGAATTTAGAAGTTCCCTTACCTCCCAGAAAGCGGGGTATATGGTAGAACATACATGCTGTAGGGTTGAAAACTACTCGTAGGATAGTAGTAGGTTGCTGATAAATTTTTGTGTTGAGTGTTGTTTGCTTTAGAAGTGATATGGTATGTTTGGAAGTTGGGCAGCAGTTCGCCTTCTACTGTTATTCGTGATTTTTAGGGTAAGCGAATCGATGTTTTGTTTGGAATGTGGATGCGGGGCTTCTGGTTTGGGGGAGTTAGTCGTCGTTGATTGTTTGTTAGTCCCCCTTTGGCGTTGCTGAGTTGAAAGTTGTCCTTTTTTTCTAAAATTCAGTTTGAAAGCAAATTGCCTATAGATACCTTTCCCATTCTCAGTTGCTAAGAAAAAATTAATAACTATAAAGGATAATTTTACTAGAGGATAACATAACAGAGATTGTTCTAGGAATGTTCAGTTTTCAACTTTTTTTGTGTACTCAAAAAGTGAGTACACCCTAGAACCGGTCAGTATGTCCGGCCGGCCGTTTACACGATAACTTTCGAAAGGAGAGTCAGATCATGATGAAATTTTCTACACAGTTCAGTCTTAACAATGTCTCGATCGAGTTTGAAGATGAGAAGGATCCGTCAAGAAATGGCTGAGTTATCGAAAAAATTGTCATTATTGACCAGACCATCCCTGAGGGGGTACAGGGATTTTTTCAAAAAAAATATTTTTCTCAAAAGTATTCACAAAATATATAAATCGACTCAGTTTTTAGCGCTGAACCCGAATCTGATATTAGTTTTGAACCAAATTGTAGCTTTCTAACAAAATATCGTCTGAAAAAGGTCTCAACATGCACAAAAACTGCATCCAGAAACCAAATTGCCTAGATGTGTCTCAGATGACCAGTAGTTTTGGGGTTTCCCAAATGCCTGATTTTGTAGCTACTCAAAAGTACTATGAAAAGGTAAAAACCCTAACTCGATAGCTATTAATATTGGTGATATATTAGGAAAATACTGTTGCCTGTATCTATGATATATCTCTTATAGATTGATGATGTTGCTTACGATCGTAATCCTGCTAGATACAAAGGCAAATCTATTCAAAAATAACTCTTCTTACCCAGTTTTCCAAGCTAAACACGAATCTGAACTGAATTCCTGTGATTTCTAAAGATATTTTATCACTCTGAGAGTAGAGTCAGTGGTCATCGGATAGGGTCGCATACAGTGTGGTCCATGCTAACTTAGCACGCATGTATTTTCTCCTTGCAATTTAGTGATAAAAAAACACAGTGAATATACCTTTTCACTTTTTCAAGTACACATAACACTTGGATTTAAATCCGAGGTTTTCGAATTTATTTTTATTCATCATTTTAACGCTATGAAATAAACGAAAAACTGAGGGAAAAAACTTGTGCACCTTACTGTATTTTGACGTATGACAGGCGGCATTGTCTTGCATATAAACCCAATCAGTATTGCTTTTATCGAATGCATTTTGAATAAAACAAGGCAATGCTTCTTTGATCACTTTAATATATGCAGGACCATTTAATCTATCATTATGAACCACTAGTGGACCATGAGCACCACCAGATATGCACCCCCATACGCTGACACAACCACCGCGACCACCTTGAACACGTGGAATGAAATTGAATAGTTGATTGATTTCCGATTTTAAACGATAAATATATGTGCCATTTTTACGACTTGATACTTCAAAATGTGCTTCATCACTCCACATAACATTATTCCATTCATCTAACCAATGTTCATGTTCTTTACCAAATGTTAAACGTTGCTTAATTTGATTAGACGTTCTTTATGGTTTTCGTTTAGCCGTGTAGCTTCTATAACCCATACTTATTAAACAACGACGCACAGCAGATGCACATAATTTTGTATCATTCGATAAAGTCCACTCGGCTGCCAACATTTGACTAGATTTCGTTCGATCTTTCTTCATAATTTGTAATAATAAACGATCATCAGTTGGTGTTGACGCCTTTTTCCTGCCCTATCCGACTACATTGGATAAGGGTACGTTTTGCTTTAACTTGTTTGAAACTCCAAAAACACATTTTTGTGATACTCCAGACAGCTGAGCAACTCGTCGTTGGCTCAGACTTGTGTTTAGCAATGTTTTGATTTCGATTTTCTTTTCAAGAGTTACTTTGATACGACCCATAGATGTCGTTATAATCAATGAGAGAATAAAACCAAAATAATAAGCACAGCAACCAATCCAAATAGGTGCAATAGTGGTAGAGTGCTTGTACCTACCTGAGCGATAGCTTTACCTAATCGACAATTGCAATACACTATAACAATCTCTTTAAATTTTTTCACAGTTGAAATTGGTATATTTTTTCTAAAATTTTTTTTTTTGTTACGATCATGTTATTTATGAACTTCTACTTAATAAATATTGAAAGAGGATATATCATTTTATATATATACGATAAGTTTAAAACGAAAAATCGATGTTGATATATAATAAAATTCGAACGAAGTCTAAGATGGAAGGTGATTCTATAATTTTTCACAACACTGTGCTAATTAATTGGATTTGAAGATTGATTTCAAACTTTGAATTGCGTTTAAAAACCAATCCAAATAACTCGACCACATTAACTACTATTCGAAAACAATATTGCTTTTTTGCGGTGTTCAAATAACAGTAGTACTAATTTCATACTCAGAAAATCTAAAAATGAGCCTATCATACAATCAATTAAATTACTTCATGATGCGCGATATATCTTCCACATTGCTCATTTAACTTAATAAATTGTGCATGACTTTGGTTTCATTATTTATTCTTCTGGAGATATTTAATGTAGTACAATAGAGAGAAAAGAAATCGGTTTTGTTTGATACGTTACCAATAATTGATCTCATACAATTGCAAAGAGTGAGTAAACATAACATAAAGCTAGTCTTGCAGCGAAATGAACAAACACAACACCATTTTTGCATTTGATTGAAGAAATAAAAACAATATTGCAACGAAAGAAACTAAAAGAATGTCAGTCGATTTCATACGTCTGCTTTTTCTTTTTATTTCTTTTAGAATTAAGGAGACAAGTAGGAAAGAAAAAGCAAACTTACATTTATAAAAAATTAGAAGTATACAAAAAAAAAGAAAATGAATAAAAATGAACCTAAGTAGTTTTGTTGATACAGCTACATTTGATGTTTTATTAGGTAAAGGTAAGACGTTCGTCAGTCCAAATTTGACGGAAAAATAAATTTATTGTAAATAATTATGTAATATAGAGTCAAAAGTAGAAATTGAAATGAATCATATCCTACCATATCTAATTCAACAATAGGTCCTAGAATAAATAATACATAAAATATCAATTGATATATATTAACTTGGGTGACATATCTAAAGTCTTAACCATTAAATACACTTGAACATGAATTGGATCTCCTAACAAACAATAAAATCGAAAAAAAACAATTTCATACATTTCATCCTACCGATATGATTAGGTCTTAGTAGTTTATTGTATCTCAAAAGTAAATCATTTAGAACACATGTTAAATTATTTGCTATCGGCCAACATGTTTCATTTAATGATAATATGTGAAGAGGTTGAAGAAAAACTATAGCTGAAATGAGCAAACACCACATAATTCTTGTTTGTCTTCTTCTGTCTTTCGTCCCTTTAAACTGAATTTTTTTTGTTTATTTATTGTTAACATTTGTGCTATTTCTTGTGGAAGATTTAATAATTGTCATTCAATCATGTTCATTATTCAAATCATCGTTGATTATTGTATAACAAAAGAGAATAGAAAAGTTCATTAAATTTGATCGTCGCTTAATTAAATCAGTCAGTTGAAAGATAATTGAGTTTGTGTTGATACAAAAATTGTTTTTGTTTTTTTAAATCTTTCACCGAAAGCTGATGTAAGTAAGATTTTATTCCAAATTTGTTTTTTTTTAAACATCGTAATACGAAGAGTATTCGATGTTCTTGTCATAAATGATTTAAGAAATTTAAAAATTTGATAATAAATGAAAAGAAAAAGTTAATTTCGTGCGGACTTTTATTGTTTAATGAGGATACACAATTAGTTAGATAACGTAAATTTGACAATTTATGAGAAATATCAAGATGTTCAAAAGAAAAAATATTACTTTAAAGACTAGAAAGCATATAATTCACTTAATTGTCAATAGAAGAGACGTTCATAATCAAAATTGTTTCGATATTAATGAGCAAAATGCAGTTGATTTTCATGAAATTCTCTAGAACAAACTTAGAGTATTTGATTAAATCATTTTTTATTATAATAAAACTCGTTCTGTGTACAATCACTCATATAAGAAATATAAGCTGTTTCTTCAATAAATTCCATTCAGTAACTACTATGGCTTATTTTTATAATAGGTTTTTTTGAATGTGTACATTTTCTTTGTGCATGCAAACAGAGATATAGTGTGGGGCTGCTCAAATCTTAGCATAGGTAATAAATCCCGCCAAATCGTCACTGAATAAAAATAAACTTCGCTCGATATTCACATCTACACTCACATTCATACTATTCACATTAAAAAAGTACACACTGAATTTCTTCTCGTAGAATAACTATTAATCGTAAAGGTAAAATAATGATATCAGAAAACTGCAGTTGCTTATAACCCATTAAATTAGATTATTCTGTTCTAAAAATGAAAATTTAATTGCTCAACATTTAAGTTTTTATGAATAATACACAGAAATTACATGTAAAAACATCTGAGACATAAAAACAACCTTGAAACAACACAAAAAAACATGTTTATTTTTGTTAACCAGCCAAATAAACTTATTTCATATTACAATAAAACCTCAAAACTTTCAAATGAAGCACAATAAATCGCCAGATGGTGTGGGTGGGGTGTGGGTGTGGGTGTGGGCGTGGGCGGGGGAAGAGCGGAAGAGCGGCGTGTAGGGGTAGAGGGTAGATCTCGGTGGTCGCCGTATCAT